CGCCCCGCCGCCCGCACCCGGCCGCAGCGCACCACCGCGGAGGCGTCTCTGAGCAGCAGGTTCCTGACCGAGGACTTGACCGTGATGTTGGCGCGGACGATCACTTCCAGGGACTTGGCGGCTGAGTACTCCTGCGGCAGTGCGGGGAGCCCCTCCAGCAGGCGGAACGCGCCCCCCGCCCCCCCCCAGCACTGGCCGTTTCTGCCCCCGTGAGAGCTCGGGGCGGGGCGGGCGGGGGCAGGTGGGGGGCCCAGCACCCCAACAGAGCGCTCACCTCCAGGAAGGTGCTGTTCCAGAGGCGGCCCCAGACGTGCAACACAGCCGCGCGGTCAAAGCTGTAGAGCGGGCAGCTGAACACCACACAGCGCGCTGTGCCCCGGGCGCAGTCCTGGGGGCCGCGGGCAGGCGTGAGCCCAGGGCGGCCGCGGCCACCCAGACGGGCCGCCCGGAGTCTCCGCCCCCGCCAGAGCCCCCACCCGGGACCCCTTTCTCCATGCACCTCACCCACATCTCCCCCACTTTCGGGACCCCCCACCTCAAACTCTCCTCTGCCAAGTCTCCCCAAATTAAGCCTGGGATCCAAAAGAGCAGCGACCCCAAATCTCAGCCACTTGGCTTGCAAATGAAGGGGGCCCCTCGGAGGGCGGTCTCTGGGTGCACAGCGCCAGGGCAGCTGCCCCGCCCATGCCTGCTGCCCCGTGAGGCCACTGAGCGCCTCCTCCCGCCAGGACCTCGTGGCCTGGACACAGCTGTCCCCCGAGGTGTGTATTTCCACCATCCCCAGTTTTCAAAGTAGCAAACTGAGACTTAAAAAAGACCCGAGGGTGGCGCAGCGGGTCTGGCGCAGCACTGAGAAGCTAAAGCCACTGCAGCACAAGTTCGACCCCCACCCCGGAGGTGGCCCCGGGGCACAGCAGACCCCTCCTGACCGCCGCTGCGCCCCTCAGCAGTGGACTTTGTCCATCTGCCTGTTCTGCTCCCCCCCGTCTCTGGGGAATCCTCTCACCCCCTGCACCTCTGGCCTGTACCCCAGCTCTGTGTGCACAAATAAATAAATCTTTAAAAACAAAAAAAAGACCCATGACCAGACTGAGGTCACCCAGCCAGCCAAGCTGGAAAGTGCTAGAACAGGTATTTGAACCCAGGCCCCCTTGGCAAAGTGCAAACCCAATTTGCCTCTCGGGAGTCTCCCCCAGAGAAATGGCGCCAGGCTGCCCCGGGGTACGCAGGGGGCGCCAGGCTGGCCCGGGGTACGCAGGGGGCGCCAGGCTGCCCCGGGGTACGCGGGGGGCGCCAGGCTGGCCCGGGGTACGCAGGGGGCGCCAGGCTGCCCCGGGGTACGCAGGGGGCGCCAGGCTGGCCCGGGGTACGCAGGGGGCACCAGGCTGGCCCGGGTACACATCCTCCTGACTCTCGGCCTCCGCCACCACTGGCCCTTCCAAGCCTGAAAGCCCTCTGGCAGCCAGGTCCTCTGTCCCTCCACACCACCCTAGGAGCGATGGGCACAGAACACATTCGCTTACTAAATGCACCTGACAAGGCTGCAAAACAGCAGGAAAAGGGGAGGGCGGCCCCCGGGCGCAGCCTGGCACAGCGTCGCTTTAGCGCTCAGACTGTCTCAACTACTGAAGGTGTTTCGGCCGTGGTGGGAGCCACGCAGGTGACCTCGTGCAAAGTGACCTTCTGGCCCAGAAAGAGCTCAACAGGGCAACACACAGCTGGCCTCACAGCTGGCCAAAACCGCGCCAGCCTGAAAAGGCGACCTCGGAGAGGGCGGGGCGGGCGGGCGGGAGGGCACCGGCCCGCTGCTGGGTGCGCCTGGGGCGGGACAGGTGCCCGCGGCCGCCTGGACACAGAGCCCGGGGCAGGGCGGGGCCAAACAAGCCCATCCGATCACAAGCAAACAGGCCGACTCACTGGCCGCGTGTCCAGGGCTCGGCCCGGCATCAAGGCCACGGGGCCGCCGGGCCTGACTGTCCTGTCAACCCGCCCAGGGTGTCCGACTGTGGCACCCCTTGAGCCGCCGGCCTCGCCGGACACCGGCCCCCGAGGTCCCCGCCGCTGGCTGTCGCACCACCCAGCTCAGCAGCGCAGCTGCCCTGCCCTCACCAGGGTGATGTTCTTCTTCTTCTCGGCGGGGGACACGGGCCGCCACGAGGTGCTGGGCTCTGGCTGCTCGCGGGGTTCCCGCTGCTCCGGCCGCTCCAGCTCCCGCCGCCTCCGGTCCCGGCTGTCCACTTTCTGGCAGGCAGCACCCAGTGAGGGGCCCTCCAAACCCAGCACGCCCGAGGCGCGCCCTCCCCACGCCTTCCCCTGGTCCCCAACCCAGCCCCGGGCCTCCTCCCGGGTCCTGGGCCCCCCACCCAGCTCCTGGGCCCCCCACCCAGCTCCTGGGCCCCTCACCCAGCTCCTGGGCCCCTCACCCAGCTCCTGGGCCCCCCACCCAGCTCCAGGGCCCCCCACCCAGCTCCTGGGCCCCTCACCCAGCTCCTGGGCCCCTCACCCAGCTCCTGGGCCCCCCACCCAGCTCCAGGGCCCCCCACCCAGCTCCTGGGCCCCCCACCCAGCTCCTGGGCCCCTCACCCAGCTCCTGGGCCCCCCACCCAGCTCCAGGGCCCCCCACCCAGCTCCTGGGCCCCCCACCCAGCTCCAGGGCCCCCCACCCAGCTCCTGGGCCCCTCACCCAGCTCCAGGCCTCCCCACCCAGCTCCAGGGCCCCTCCCAGCCTCACCAGCTGGAGGATGTTGGGCCTGGGGGAGCACAGGCCCCTCTGGCCAGACCCCTGGCCGCCCTCCAGCTCCACCCGCATGGGGTACAGCAGCCACTTCCCGTTGGCGATCTCATGGGGCCACATGATGTTGAGAAAGGCGGAGCCCAGGGTGTTGAGTGACTGGCCTTGGTTGGAGACCTGTGGCCAAGGGGCGTGCAGGAGGGAAGTCAGAGGGCCTCGGGGAGCCCGGGCTCAACAAACACCAGGGTCGCGGGCCCACCGGGCATCCCCGTTGCCACAGCAAACAGGAAAACCTGCGAGGTGTCACGGGGAGGCGTGGGAAGGCCCAGTCCCGAAGGGGACAGACCCAGGCTCCCCGCGGGACCCCTCCCAGCGAGGCCCCCACCAGGGCCTGCCCTGTCTCTCGCCCCCCGGAAAGCAGGCGGGACGTCCGCTCGGGGTGGGGGCGGTGGTGAGCTGAGGCCAGCGCATGGCCCCGCTGCAGCAGGCGCTGTCCCGTGGGAGAGCCGCCTGGCGCGGGGCCCGGCCTCTGGGCAGGAAGGCGGACGTCACAGGCAGGCCCGGGACACTCACCGTGACCTCGTACTTGACCTTGCTGCCCACATCCTGCTCGGACTTCATGGCGCTCTCACCCACCACCACGCCCGAGAAGAAGAGCTGCTGAGGGACCGCCACCCTGCGGGGACGAGGCGCGCTGGCCCGGCCCGGCTGACCAGCTGGCGGAGCCCGAGCCGGGGCCTGTGCCCAGCGCCCACCCTCCCCCAGGGCCCCCGGCCAGGGCTCACCCCGCGACGGAGAGCGGCAGCTCGATGAAGACGCGTGCGCGGACAGACACCGGCCACAGCTCCTGCTCGCTGATCCTGCGCGGGGCGGGCGGAGGTGGGCGGGCGGGCGGGCGGCACCCAGGGGCAGCGGGACAGCGGCCCCTTCCCGGCGGACGCCCACCTAACTGCCCCCGGGCCACCAGCTTACGTGGCCAACAGCAGCTCAACCTCCAGCTCCGTGGTCTCGATGGTGATTTCTGAGGTGCTAAGGATGATGTAGAAGGCGACCTGGGCCGGG